GACAGTAAAAGGGCCAGGAGGCCCCTTCTTTATTCCAAGTACAACACCAGCAAGAATTACATATATATTTCTCACACTCGAAACTACATAGAATGGATGAGCAACCTTCACCTCGACTTCCCATGAAATCTAGATATAGCAGCAACACATTATTCTTCAGAAGAGAAATGATCGTTAAAAGCTGCAAACACATATATACGACAGCAAAACGGAAATAGTAATACTCATGACTTATTTAGTACGCAGCTATAGAAGATATTAGAGTTCCGAATTGGGCCATTGATTATCCTTCGTCTTGGTAGCTCCATCACCTAATATTTACATATCAGTTTAGTAGGTTCACAAATCACAACGAAAAGTAATTAACTAATAAGTAACGCAATAATAATTTCATAATATTGAGGCAAGAAGCTAGTCTCGGTGACTGAGATTTGAAAATAGAAAGCCGCAAAATAAACGAAGTTGATGTTGTTAATTACCATCACTGGACTTTTCTCTTGCATGAATGGAAGAGGAAAGGGAGAGAAATATTATAGAAACCGCGACGAGAAAAGCAATTAGAATAGCCTTCTTCATGTTTACAGGAATACGACTCTTTTAATTTGGCTTTTGTACGTTTATGCTCACACTACGCTTACCCTTCCTCCCTATTTACGGTCTCCTGGAAAGAGAAGCCCAGTGTTGAAAAAAGCGCTTTCAATCAGTATAATTTATTCTCCCATTTTTAACCAATCATACAAATAATTGCTATAAAAAAAAAATTCTAAGTTGACTTGGCCCTATCTTCTTCAACCTTCGCCCCCCTCTCCACCTATTGCTTTTTATCCTTTTCAACAGTCACAACCACCCTCCCAAAATTTAATGATCATCTTGGAACGCTAGGTGATTAGTTAGTTATGATCTTGACCACCTTATTAGTAGATGTACCTAAAGCTCTATATAGAGGCGCATTAACTATATGTGATTTCGATGCATGAAGGACATGGAATCCTTCATTAAAAAGCGGGAAGATAACTTGGGTCTCTCGCGGGTACCCAAGAGTTTTGGCTTTTTTTTTTGGTAACCCTTAATAGGTTTGTTGTTTCATTCATTGGTTAGTGAAGGTTTTACTATCTTCATTTGTTGGTTATCATCCAAAATTAAAGGCATGTCCTAGTCAATGCCGTCTTGTGAATAGCCCTCATCTATATAAAAAATTATACAAGTTTACATAATAATCCTAAATGAACTATAAAATAAATAAAATTCACAAAAATTAGTCTAAATTATTACCCCTTAATTTTGGATGATAACCTCCATGACCTTTAGAACTTCACAATAAATCCCCTTAAACTCTTACTTTTATACAGATAACTTTCTTATGATTAATTTTGTACATTATCATCTATTCTCATACAGCTTAAAATTAAGGAGAATTATCTACAGACCAATCAAAATTTAAGGCATTATATGCACACAAAATAAAGTTAAAAAGTATATAATTGATAGTTATGGGCTATTTGAACAGATTTTGAAAACTCATGGAGGTTTTATGACTAAATTTTAAAAGTTAAGATAGTTATTTGTGCATGATGCAAAGTTAAGAAGATTTTTGTGTAATTTAGTCTAAGAATTATAAGTTTGATGGGTTGAAATTGGGCTTAACTTCAACTTCAGATTGAAAAAAAAATTAATGAATCGGGCATAAGCCAGACATTGGGATTGGAATTTGTATTTTGTTCTAAATTCGAGAACTTGAATGTCATCGCTCCAACAAACAAGCAATTTCTCCTTGCTTCTAAATTATATTACTCCGTTCCTTATTATAAAATTTTTTAACTAAATTATACATTTAAGAAAATAGTTAAAATTAGTTAAAAGCAATTAATATGTAGCAAATATAATTTCTTTTTCAAATATACCGCTATATATAAATGGGTGAGTGTGAGAGAGTAATAGTAAGATAAATGAATAAAGATAACTTATTCAATGCATTAAATTAAAGATAAAATAGGTAACAATGCATTAAATGCTCAGATAAACTCTAAAAGGATCTTATAAAAAGGGACAGACATATTCAAAAACTTAGATCTTATAATAAGGGACAGAGGGAGTATGTGATATGATATACTACCTCCGGTCCTATTTATAAGACCTTGTTTGACTTTTATCTTGATCCTAAATATAAGATCCTAATCTATTTTGTCTCTCATATTTATGTATTTTTTCCCAATATAGTCCTTCTAACAATAGTAGTTCTAACTAATACACTTGATTAGTAAGGATATTTTAGGAAAGACAACACCTATTTATTACAAATAACTAACTTAATTTCTTTCCTTAATTTCCTCAAATTAGTCAACTAACTCTTATATTTTAAGTAGACCCTATGTTTCTAAACTAAAGATTTTTCAAACCACTCATTTTGATTATTTAGATTTTATGAAAAAAAGTATGATTAATAAAAATAATATTAATTTCCCTAAAAAAATAAAAATAATATTAAAAAATCATTTAAATTTTATGACAAATTTAATATTTTTATTGATATGTAAAAATTAATTAGAAGTGATTTAAATTTAATACTGGAGTGGTAGGTCGATATGTTACATATCCATAAATAAGTTGCTGTGGCTGTTTGTGTTGAGCAATTGGGTAACATGGCGCGAGTGTGGTTTCTGCGCATTCAATCGGCAGAAGCTTAAAAGCAAAAGTGCCAAGACAAGAGATGAGGTCAAAAGATGACATAAAAGAATTAACCATTGAGTTGAAGACACCTATTACTAGTCTCCTACTTATTTACTCCTTTGATCCTATAAAAGCTTTTTTTTTTTTTTAGGATCTTTTACACGAACCAAAAAAAGAAAAATCTTAAGCTGACCTTTAGGTGAAAACTCTTCTAAAATTTGAATCATCTACAAATAACCATTGTAACCTTTAAAATTTAATAATAAAGCTTTATCGGCTTTCAAGTCTATGTGAATAACCCCTCATTATCCATCACATATCCTCTTAGACTTTAATTTGTGTACATATAACCCCTCCAACTTTTAGTTGAATGCAGGGGTCCATTGGAAAATTCGGTCTGGGTGCAAGGGCATTCTAGTCATAAAAAAATTAGTTCCCGCGTGTAGAATGAGGAGGTGTGAAGCCTAATGAATGCTCGTAGAAAAATGATTCCATGAATGTCAGAAAGTAGGGAACATATAATAAACGTGGCAGTGCTCCTTTCGTTATATTGAATGGACGATTCACTGCAACTCCACAACAGCCGATCTTATCAAATTTTATTATTTATATTTGATTTTTTTTTAAAATCAATCCCTCCATTATTTAGGGGGATTATAAAATATGTTAAAAATTTGGCATAAATTTATTTAGGTTTAAAATTATATATGAATTTTTAAAATGGGACAAAAATAACAAAACTGTTAAACATCTGTTGCTTTATACATATGGGGGACCCATGAAGCCAATATAATATCTTCACTTCCATTATGGTCAACTCACGCTCCCTCTCCCTCTCCCCTCCCTCCCTCAATCCGAAGCTAACCAAATCAAAGTCTAAAACATTAATTTTCTTGGTGTGCTTTGGTTCGAGATTCATGATTGTTCTATATTTTGTGGCTTAACTGAAGCCTAATTCCAACCCATCAAACCTAAACTTCGTTATGCTTTTTATACTAAATTACACAAACTAAAACTCTTGTAAACTTTGAATCATCTACAAATAAATATTCTAACACTACTACAGAATTATAAATACTTAATACCCAATATTCAATGGTTATAAGAGAAACTGTCAAAAAAGATGATAAGAAAATGCGGGGAACAATATTTGACGGTTTTCCACAAAAACTATCAAGTATTGTTTGAAAATACTTGACCGTTTTTGGGAAAAACGCTCTTGTATTGATAGCCAGAAGAATACTTGATGGTTTTTCTTGAACCTAAACTTTGGTAGAATGAAGGTGCGGGACGGCCGTTCATATTAGGAGGGAGGTGGAAGGGATTTTTTTTTTGGTTGGGGGTGTTTTTGTATTTTCATATTATAAACACATATTTTAGTAAAAATTATATCTCACTTCCATCATTCTACCAAACATGTTTTGAAATCCACTTCCACCTTCACTTCCACTTTTATTTTCACTTCAAGTTCCACTTCCACTTCCGTCAAAAATTCTTCCATGATACCAAACGGGGTATTGATGTTTTTGCACACTTAATCATAATTGGTTCTCTATTGTGTTGTTTGTGATTCGCTTGTGTGTTGGAGTTGCAGTAGTTACTGAGGCATTAAATCTCACCCCTTTATCCTAACATTTTCAAGTGAGAGAGATTAGGTAGGAGTCAATGGAATGAAACAGATGAGTGGGCTTTGAAGACTTGTTATGCTTCCCAAGAACGTGTTTTTCTATTTATATTTAATTGTCATGACATTACAATTATTTTTATGTCAAAATATTTTGGTTTTAGTATGTTTATTTGGGGTCAGGCACTTGAGAAAATACTTAAAAATTATTACGTATATAAGTGTTGATTGGGCTGGTGTAGCTTAGGACGGAATATCACCATGCCCTTACATGGTGTTTAGCTATGGGATCCTTTATAATCATAAATAGTGCCACTGACATTAAACTCTATGCAATATAGTATCGTATTATACCTTTTCAATAGCACATGCAAGTGCATACACGGTCAAAGTCCTACTTATCACTCATTTAAACATTACGTATCCTTACCCAAAAATTCTTTATCTATTTTTATAAATCATTCAACCCATAAGCGTTTTATTTGTTAAAATAAAAGTTAAAAGGAATAAATAATATAAACAAAGCTTCAAACTGACGCAGCGGCCACTGAAAAGTGTGTACGTAATAGAGAAAATGAAGTATAAGGATTACAATTATTATTTTGCACACGGTGCTGCACCAAAGGCTGAATAAAATCAGCAAGAGGACATAAATTTTCAAGGACAGAAAATTAAAATATACCAAAGCTTCAAATGTAGGTTGCTACTGTCATACTACTTGGAAGATCGAGCATACGGTTTGAGTGATGGTGAGAATAAGAAGGATGATTGCAGCAATAGAAGCCATTGTTTGCCACCGTGTGTTGCAGTAACCTCTTCTCAAACTTGCCATTGTCTTATGGCAAGGATCTTGACAAAACTTATTCAATCTTCCGCAAATGTCAGCGTATGTACTATTGAATTTGCCTTGACTTACATTTTTCGCCAGACCATTAAATAACGTTGCAGCCTCATTGCCATCACTTAACCAATTGTCGATAATATCTTCATGAGAGAGAACCTCCACATCTTTATTTGTGTTGACTAGGGTATCCCATACAAAAATATAGTCAGTAAAATACGATTTATCATAATAAAGACACTGTTCTAAAGCTATGATATTACGAAACAAAGTTTCAGTCCCATCATCAATATTAATTTGAGGAATCTCCAGAACAGATTTTGAAAATTTCAGGTCTAGTAAGCACTTGCTTGTGCTTTTCCTCAACTTCACACCTGCCTCTTGTAACTCATTTGCACTATACTTGAGCTGATCGGAATCATCCCCTTGATATGCATCCCTTCTTGGTTGGGTTCTCGATAAGTAAAATAATCTAAGAAGATCTGTGAAATGCTTTATGTTACGATTGTGCTCTAACCTTTGCTTGTTAAAAAAGGCAAAGTAGGAATATGTAAGCTCAAGAAATGAAGGGAGATCACCTCTACGGTTACAAGGAAAGGCTACGTTATATAGCTTTTTAAGAAAAAAGAATGGAAGTTGATTCTCAAGTAAAAGCAAATCCTTACGTATAGCTTCCGTCAACCATAACTGTGATAGTTTAGGATCTTCATTTATGTTACCTTTGTATTTCATCATAAAGAGTTCAATGATGAAAGCAGAGTCCACTAATATCAGTTTCACAAGGTCCTTCTTGTTATAGTTGATGCTATCAAAATAAGAAGCACGGACATTCGGCTCATACTTTCTTGCTAACTCAATCAAACTATTCAAGTCCTTGTCTCGTGCAAATGTGTTGAACATTATTGTTTTGTACCTCTCCATATCTCGCAGCCTCACATTACCATGATGAAAAGGACCAATAGAAACCACTTTAGGAGTGTAAGCCTTGTGATTTAGAAGACGGATCGTTGAGGGCACTCTGTAGATACAACTCAAAGACGACGAACGGCCTTCTTCGTGGCTAATCTCTATCATTTTTTTTATGTCGTCTATGCTGATCTCCTCATCATCTTCCTTCTATATATCAATTTGGATTCAGAAGGAAAGCATAAATTGCATATTAGCAAAGCAATAAAGGTGACCATAAAGCTTGGGAAATACAAATGTTTTCTTTTCTTAATATCTGAACTGCTATAATCTCACCATTTGTTGGGAAACCTGAGTGGTCTGTTCTTTCTGCTTTATGTCAATGATCAGCTTATGATCATATTCCATCTGTCAATTTGAATCAGAAGGCAAGCAGCCACACATCAGCAAAATATAGAAGATGGCCTTTTAATGCTTGGAAAATATAAATTGCGTCTTTTTCATAGTAACTAAATTGGAGTCTCACCTCGTCTTCAGAGATCTCAATGACCACGGCTTTCTGCTTCTTATCATCCATCTACCAGATCTTTCTTTGAAACTGATCTCGGAATTTGCTTCTCTCTTCAAATAAAGGAGCGGCACTCAGCTAGCATTTATAATTGTGTTTGTTAAACAGTACGTTCAATCATTCAATTGAGGGTGGTCCCAAACTAACCTAACCTATTTATTTATCTAGTCCTATTTATAACATAAAAGAGATTTTTTTTTTGGAACTATTTGTAAGATGCATCATTACATGTTTAACATGAGTATACTATCTTATCTTCCGTTTATGATTGCTTACATTATTATCTTATTGGAAGTTTTTATACTAAACAAGGATAGAGTTGAAAATTTATTTAGTTTTAAGACAGAATTAATAACCTTCCAGATTTTTCTTGATTCTAATAAAATTATGTTAAAAATGATTTATAAATAAGATTAGAGGGTAGTTTGATTAGAAAAAACCATTTAATGTGAGTTAAAAATTGCGTCCACTTATTGATAACATTTTTTTTTTTACATTTGATCATTATATAAATTTTTTACAAATTTATATTTATCTTTTTCAATATTTATATCCTATTATGATATATAAAAAATATTAAAAAAGAAATGAAATTATGAAATGCTTAAAACAGTGAATTTTGTTTCTATAAATTTTAAATTTATGTGAATGATTTGACTTTTTCATTACTCCTCCGGTCTTAAATATAAAACTCCTTTTATAGTGTAATTCCTTTCGTAGTGTAAATTACACTACAAAAGGATCTTATAATTAGGACTGGAGGAGTATAATAATAAAAATAATTGAATGTCTTGGCGGTAAATATTGTTTCATATATATATGTTGTTATAAAACTAGAGAAAGAGTACAGAATAAGAGAAGAGATTAAGGGAGAATAGAAGACAAGAGTATTTGTCATTTTATTCAAAGTGCTGAATACATGATACATGGCCTCTATTTATAAGGACAACTTTACATTTTTGACAGGATCTACAAATTACATAATAATAGAAGATAATTATGGAATATAGATATAATGAGAGATATTAGAGATGATAATAGATATAGGAGATAATGGGAGATATATGGATATCCATAAAGATATTACTATACTCATAACACCCCCTTGGATGTCCATTATATATGAACATGCCTTATTAAAAAACTTCAACTATGAAAAATCCCGCGGGACAAAAACCTAGTAGAAGAAAAGGAGTACATTATTCATTAATATACTATACAGTGCTACCTCATTAAAAACCTTGCTAAGAAAACCCAATGAGACAACTATATAGATAAGGGGAACAGAGTATAGCGTGTATCAATTCCTCCTCTTGGTAACATCAATTGACATCTTCAAACCTGTAAAAACTAATATAATGAATAGGCCTTCCAAATATTGAAGATAAAAATGTCAAATATTAATTCATAACCTTTTGAAAATTATGGGACAAATATTCCTTTTTTGGTCTCCCAACATATGGATTATTATAACTAATAAGATTAGTTTTAGGTATATTCAGATAATGTCACCTCCACAGTATCATTAAAGTAATGAAGAATATGCTTAAGTTCATTCCAACATCTTCGTGTTTGTGAATAACTATGTCATGCTAATTAGTAAATGATATATCAGGTTTTGTGTAGCTTGCTAGATGTATAAGTGCTCAAGTGACACAAAGATATAGTACTTCTTGACTAAGTATTTATTCACTACCTTTTGGAGATCTAAATGGATCTTTAATCCACATCTAAAGATCTTATAACTATTAGAACACATAATAGATATGGCTTATTCATGTTTATTTCTTCCAAATCTTTCATTTCAAATTCTTTCTTTAAGCAATTCACTGCTTTTGTAAGCCTTTCATAGGTTTTGATGATATCATCAGCATAAACAACAATGATAACAAACACATTTTCATATCTTTTTATACATGGGCAATTTAGAATATTTTTATATCATTGTCTTAACCAATATTTACTAAGTCGGTTATACTACATATGCTTTCATACAAAGACTTATTCAACTTAATTGAATGGTGTTCTTAAGAACATAATTGTATGCTTCTGAAAACTTGAATCCTTTAGAAATTTTCATATATTGTGATCCAAATTGATATGTATATTATGTTATCTTGAACTTACACAAGGATTTGAATCCTTCTTAGATTCATATAAAATTTCACCATATAATAAGTCACTATATTTCCTAGATGCATATGCAATATTTTTGTATATTATCAAACTGCTTGATTGATAAGATATATAAAAATTTAATCTACCACAAGATTGCATTTCTCTTTTCATGTACGAATGCTCATTTATATAATACTAACATTACACTTCAAGTCCTTGGGCTAGAAATACACAAATCTCCATTATAATGTAGCATCTTTTCTTTTCTGTTAGCCAACCATCTTTCTATCTGTATCTCATAATAAATTATATATAAGATCCTCATTTGATCACATGATATCATCACTAAAATTATTGTCGATAATTTTATTTCTTTAGCAGTCTCGTTTTCTTTTATGACATAACATATCGAGATTTCTTTATTGCTTTCAAATACTTAAACCTCTTCAAGGGTCAAAAAATCATGTCTTAACCTTTTTATGCAATTCATGCCTCCTTAATGTGATCATCTTGATCATTTGTTCCTTTTTTTTCTCTCTTTCAAAACTGGTCATTCTCTCATACTTTTAGCATGCCTTATGAAAAATATAAGCACCTTTAGCTGGGATATGAGAATTAAGAATTCTCATCTAGATCAATAATTGCATTTGGCTGATATTAGTAATATTTTATTAATAGAATACTTTATGAACTTCGAATTCATACTACTATATTTGAGGATCTACATTTGATAGTAAAAATATATCATATGTTTTCTCTTTTCCAACTACTCATTTTCTCTCTATTATTTTGGGAACATGCAGTGTAAGTCTCCTAAGTCCACAAGTTTTTTTTAGAAATATTATTTTGTTTCATTTAGAGACAAACAAGAATAAAGAGGTTCTTATCTAACATTGATCCTAACTTACCTTTAATAGCTATATAAGTCCATTATTAGAGTGAAATAATAGATATTTCACATTCTAAGATGGAAAATGTCTAGCTTTTGAGAAAAAGCCAATTATAATGGGGGGAATTCACAACACATTATTAGCTTGATGCATTTATGTGAAAAAATATATAAAATCAATTATCCCAACACTAAAACGGGAATTTTGTTCTCATATAAGCTTTAATCTAGCTATTTGTAGAGGCTTTTACTAAATATATAATCATTGATAAGATGAGGAACAATCCCTAGATACTTTAACGGGGTATCATATTAGCTGCATAATTTGGGACTTATACACTTATGCACCCAATGTAATTATTCGAACATGTTTGCAAACTTCATGTTGCAAGTTAATCATAATCACTCATTTGATCATTTTATAGATGCATCTTTCTTTCATAATGTATTGATTTGGTCCACACGGTGTCTTAATGGGCCCATATATAAACTTGATCCATTATATATATGCATAGATCAATGGGTATAATAAACCATAATGTAGTTATTCTGGAGTCCTATATTTTTCATCTTTTGCATAATAAGAGAAGCTCACACATTGTAATATTATTTTCAATTGTCAATGGGGATAATAAATCATCTTAAGCCTTATTCAAAAGGAATATGAGATATAAGAAATTACATGAATATTAATGATAACAAATTCCATCTAACGTGGTTCACACTTATATTCCAACAACCTCCCCTTCAAGTGAGTCATATAAACATATTTTTCTTATTTCTATATTTTAAAGAGAGTGAATAGTATAATAAATCATCTTAAGCCTTATTCAAAAGGAATATGAGATATAAGAAATTACATGAATATTAATGATAACAAATTCCATCTAACGTGGTTCACACTTATATTCCAACAACCTCCCCTTCAAGTGAGTCATATAAACATATTTTTCTTATTTCTATATTTTAAAGAGAGTGAATAGTATATAGTAGCTAATAACATATTTTTAACTTAGAAATCCAAGTGTTTCCTAATTCAGATATAATGGATTTTAATCCAAGTAAGCTATCACCTTAAGATCCTTTGATAAACAAATGTTCTTATGTATAAATATTTGTGGGTTATAATTTTCATTATCAATTCATTTTCCGCCCACAAAGAATAGGAGAACTACATTAGTTGTTCAAAAACTACATCGATTTTGTTTACCAATTCTTCAGGAACTATATCAACTTTTTTTGTTATTAGTTCTTCTAGAGCTACATCAATTTTTTTTTGTTACATATAGTTCTTTACAAAATACTATATATATTTCTCTAGGAAGTAACATATATTGTTATTTCACTATATAATATACTTTACTTCTTGTACGTTATACTTTTTCAAAATATGAAGTATTTTTTTTCACAACATATATATTTTCTCAATATTTCGTTATTAAAAAACATTACTCTTTTGTATATATTCTCTAACACTTCAAAACTTATTTATAAATTTATAAGTTCAACAAAAATTTGAAGACATCTATAAAGACTAACATCAAACTGTATAGTTACAAAGATTTCAATCATAAGCATTTAGGGCTTTAATATTATAAGTCATTAGTCTTCAAAACTATATGTAATAAATATATTTCTCAAAGATCATCTGTATCAATCAATATTTGAACCACAAGCCTTCAGGGCTTTAATATTTATAATCAAGTCATCAAAGCATCATAAGTTATTCTTTTCATTTCATTCAATAACATGAGTATAATGACTGCTAGCCATTTAATAATATGAAATTATAATATTAATAGGTATCAAATTGAATGTCAAGAATATATAAGAATAACAGAAGAATAAAATTTTAAATTTTAAATTGATAAAATGCAAAATATAAATGTAAGATGAAATAAGGAGAAAGATAAACTTTTGTACCAACGCATCCTTCACTGTATAGTGAATAATTTCTCATAATAAAAAATATTTGAGCCAGCCATTAGTCTTGTAGGCTACA